AAAGCACTTTGTTGAATCAAGACAAAGAAAAACAATGATGGTCTTCTCAGACTTTAGAAAACACCAAGGAGCACTTGAGAGAATAGTAGACCTGGGACTTTTAGCGGGGGTTTGGAGGGTAGCCAGCACTATACTTTCTGGAGTTCCACATGGCCATGCCAGGTCATTGATTCAACAGGTGATGTGGAAAGTGGATACTGAGGAGGGAAGATAATTCTAATCTCAGGGCAGAAGGTAAGACTTCAAATTGGTAGGCCACAGAGTAAGCCTGGCAGTGTAGTTCTGGGTGAGGACCTCTTTAGATAGCCATGCTCTGGAGGTGATAGGCTAAAAAGAAAAATGTCAGTAGGATCTAATGACTCTGCCTTCAGAATTTCTACATGATAGCTATCAAAAAGTTTCACAAAACAAAGGGAAACACTTTTCTAAGATTTGTTAAAGAAGTTAGGTTTTGTCTGGAAACACTATAAATCAGCACAGTACAATAATAATATGTAAATGGTGACTTTTTCTCTCCCTAGGCTAAAATGGATAGATGAGCTATCTCAGATGTAAGTAGGGAGATACTTTAAATAAAATTTTGTTCACTTTAGCAATTTTTTTATGTACTTTGGTGACCATAACCTCAAGCATCTGCACACTTTTATTTCAGAATGTCATGTGGCTTTAATTTCTTAGCAGGATCTTGAATAATCTTTAAGCCTGAGAACACAGGAAGTAATTTATAATGATATGGCATTTAGATCATGTTCATGCATTTAAATGCCTTATTTTTTATTGGTAAAGTCTGTTAGTGAAAGAGTAATAATTGTTGCATATTTAGACTTTTCTAGAGATTTCCATCTTTTTCACTTGAGACATCTTATCCTTTATGTAATTTAAAATATCTACAAATACACAACAGCCAAGAGCTTCATAGTAGTAATTAAAACATATTGTGGCAAAGGCAGGTCCCTAAGTAACTGGAGGCTCCAGTTTTTTAAATCAAGGCATCTGATGGTTCAAATTTTAAAAAGTAAACTTTCCTTTGATCATTCCGACCCAGTACAGTTATACTGCCACAATGGCCAAAGATATTTTCCTCAACTTTGTAAAACAATTAATTCACATGAAATAAGAGGATATGATCTTTAGGAAGTATTCATTTTATTGTTGTTGAACTAGTACTTACTGTGCAACAATTCTCATAACAATTTTCACAGGACTCTGAGCATTGGCCCTTAAATTCTGCCAAATTTTTTATTCAGGAAAAATACCAGTGGTAACCTTTTCATTAATCTTATCTCTCCAGATACCCACTAATCTCTCTTTATTTCCTTCATTTTTTATGGTAAATATAGACTCATTTTTCAGATGAGAAAGCATTTGAGGGACTCACTGAAAGTTCAAAAGAGTCAATGGCACAGAAATAAATGTAATAGAACATCTTGAGTTCTGTCCCAGGGGATTCAAAAATTGTTCTTTTAGAGAATGTGATCTTTCCATATGGGACTTGTGCTTCAGCTATTACTTGAAGTGTCATTTGGGCACTGAATTGCACTCTGCAAAGTCCTGGGCCAGCTTAACAGCTACACATTATTCTTGACATTCAATTAATGCAGTATTGATTTAACTGAACAAGTAAACTGATTCTATGGGACATAAAATACAGAGGAGAAGAGATCCATCAGGTAGTTTTCCCTCACTTACTGTTAGTGTACTTGATTTAATTGAATAACTGGAGTTGACTCAGTTATCACATAGTTATTTATTCCTTTTGAACCCAGATTTGTTGTGGAAGCATTTTCTTTTATGCGACAAATGAGTCTCTACAATATTTGAAATATTATTGTAGATACTGGATTATAAAGATGAATTAGGCTAAATCCCTCCTTCAAGAAGTTCAATTTAAAGAGAAAAAAAATGTAAGGACCAAATGTCATTACCATGTGGCAGGTAAATTAACAGAAGCAGATAGAGTGTTATGGGAGACTAGAGGACAAGGAGCTTATCTTAGTCTAGGAAGTCAGGCAGGTCTTTCTTTCTTTCTTTCTTTCTTTCTTTCTTTTTTTCTTTTTATTTTAACAGAAGAAGGGTTTTATAGACATTGTATGGGAAAGATAAGGGTCTGTTGAGGCAAATGGGTTAGGGGAAGGGGGAATCTGTACATAGCAGAGGGCCTGGAGCAGACACATCCAGCCCAAAGCTCCCACCACTCACAGGGGTCAGGACTCACAGACACCAGTTGGCCTGGAGTGGTGCTGGCCAACAGCCAAGTACTGTCCCCAGTGCTGGGCATCCTGGTGGCAGCTCTAAGCCAGACGTCTTGGCTGTGTGAAGAGGGAAAGCACCTGAGTTGTTGGCTGGGTGTTGCTAGGCCAGTCAGCAAAGCTGATGGCATTAGGTTGCACCGGGTGGCTGGGCTATAGGCGAGGCTGGGCCTATAGCTTGCTCTTGAGTTGCTTCATTCTCCACATGAAAATTTTGTGAGACTGTCACTGTCCATCAGGGAGTCTGGATGTGGGGGGGGGTGGCTCCTGGATAAAAATGAGATGTTGTGTGTCCCCTGACTAACCATCCAGGCATACCCATGCTGTTGGAAGCTTGCACTGAGGCAATGCTGCCACTGGGTGGTGTGTTCCCAGCAAGCCCCATGCATTAATAGAAAGGGATGGAGGCAGGAAGAGACTGGAAGATGACAGCCATAGGAGGGGTGGTATCCATAGCACTGGGGTCAAAGGTAGTCAGCCATAGGAGGGGTGGTATCCATAGCACTGGGGTCAAAGGTAGTCATGGATGAATTTTGCAGAGGACCTGCACACCAGAGTGCAGGCAACTGGAGGAGCCATGATGGAAGGCTCATACAATCAGGGGCCCTGGGAAAGGAGACTCTCTGTGGCTGCCCATCAGGGCTCCCAAATGTGGGCCAATGGGTGGGGCAGTGGACCATAAGTGCAAACGGGCTGATGGGGACTCTCATCTTTGCAGGGTGCCTCTGTTCCACTCTACAAAGGATGTAGGAAGATGGAGGAGAGCTCACACTAAAGGTTGGAGGAGAGCTGAAAATAACACCCACAGAAAAGGGAGTCATGTGCATTTCAATGACCTCAGGGTCTAAAATAGGCTGCCAGGTCAAGTGGGCAGATGTGCTGCCTGTGATGGTAGACATGGCTACTGCAGAAGAGGTAAATGTGCCCATGATAAAAGCAGAGTAGAAGTGACTAGAGGACAAGTAGGGAAGGAAAGAGTAGGAGGAGTAGGGAACAGAGGAGGAAGGGTGGGAGGGAAAGCAAGGATGGGGAAGGAAGGAAGAGGAGGATTAGGGAAGGGAGGAGGAAGAAGGTTGGGAAAGGGAAGAGAAGGGCCAGAGTAGGGAGGAAGAGGGGAGTCGAAAGAGTGAGGAGGAGGGATGGGGAGGGAAGGAGGAGGAGGGTTCTGGAAGGAAAGGGGAGGAAGGGAATCCACACGCATGGGTGTTGGGGTCTTAATTCTGCACAAAGGCAATGTCAAGGAGAAGGGTAGGGGGCTGTGTGGTGTGCACAGGCCAGAAATGGGAGGTGCTGCAGCTGGGCCTGGGTGAGTAGGGGCCCCACTCTCCTTAGGTGGAACCGCCTCAGTGGCACTGGCCCTAAAGGGAGGGAGAAGGTCAGCAGGAACACCCAAAGGAGAGCTAGGGGGTATGAATATTGTTTCATTGATTTTTGGTGTGGAAGCAGGTAGAGAGACAGGCAGGATCAGAGGTCCAGCAGCCAGGTTGGCCAGGTCAGGGGTGGGAGGAGGAACCAGGCCCTGGAAAATGTAGGCTGTGGCCAGGGGCTGGGAGTCTGCCATCTCAGCAGCAGGTGGGGAGAGAGAAGGGGCACATTGGGTGGTGCTGCTACTCCCATGGCCTCTGTCTTATCTTTCAAAACCTCTGTTTTCTCCTGCAAGATCGGAGTCTTTCTTTGACACTCCTTCAAGGTGCCTTGATCTTCCTAAGCAGCTAGACCAAGAAGCTTCAGAGGTGGGGGCAGCTCACCTGTGTCTTACAACAGTGGCAGAGACAGCAGGAGTGGCATGGCGATTTTTCTTTTGCAGGGCCAATTCCTGGTGGCTCTGGGTGGAAAAGAACTCCCGGGTGTCATCTGTGCAGACTCTTCACCCTACATACATCTCTTTCTGGGACATTGGCACCTGGAGCAGGTCTGCAGAGCTGGGCCAATGGTCTCAATGGTCTCCCTCCAGCAACTCAGTGGCCAACTCCTCCAGCAGCCAGTAGCTGCCTAGCACTGGGTCCGGGGAGCACTGTTGGGTCTGGATCAGGTGTCCCAGGAGACAGGACACCTCCAGCAGGGCTGTGTGAGCAGATGACTGTGTGGCCTTCAGAGCAGGAAATCATCATCTGAGTCACCTGGGCCTCCTCACTCCAGGTGTTTTCAGAGTGGTGGGACAGAGATGTCCCTCCAGGGAAGGCCCAGGACTTTACTCCCAGGAAGCGAGGTCTCTCTGGGTCTCCAGGTGCCTTGATGGTGAGGGTGTTTTCTCATTGCTAGAAGGGACCCTTTTCCTGTCTTCCTGCCAGTGGGTCTCCAGAAGATCATCCTCCTCTTCCTCCTCCTCCTCCTTTCTACTCCTCCTCCTCCTCTGCCATCACCTGGGCCTTCACCCTCCTCCTTCTGGCAAGGCATCCGGAGGTGAGTGAGTTGCATCAGCCTTGTAGCCCTGCCTGCTCAGGCGGTGAAGGCAAGAGAGTGACCTTGCCGCCTGGGAGAGGAAGGATCCTGATGGACCACGAGTGTCGGGCCACCGTGGAGCTGCCAGCAAACAGCACAGGCTTCTTCTTTGTGGCCTTCCCGCAGGATCCTATGGGAAGGATCCCCAGAGGAGAGCACGTAGCCTCCGGGAGAGGAGTCTGCCTCTTGGAGGCGATATAAAATCCCCACCCCCATAAAGGCACGCCATCCCGATTGGGTCACACAGCCTGAGGACAGGGTGGAAGGCTGGGGCGCATGCGTGGGCTGGTCATCCCCCAGCCGGGCAGCCTCGCGGGCGGGGAGAGGCGTTGGGGGGACGAAGGCCCTGCGGCGGATGGGGAGACCGGGCTTGCCAAGAAGATTGTCCATTTAAGGGCTAGTTGTGCGCTGTAGGATTCCGAAGAGATGAAGAAACGGAGAGATTTCTCCTTCATGCCCTCTTCATCCAGAGGCCGAGCACGCACTGGTCAGCGGGGCGCTTGAGACGTCCCAGTGTGGAGCTGGTGACAGAGAAAAGGCGAGCCAGGGGTGGGCGTGGTGGGGGCAGCCAAGGGTGCTGAGAAAAGGCATCAAAGGGCACCTGCTGCTGGTGGCAGGTATTTGGCCCGATATGGGCCACTGTGTGGGGACTGACGGGGACTACGGAGGCCAGACTGGCCAGAGCCCTTCCCGTCTGAGCGCCAGCTCTGCAGGCTCCTCGGCGCCGGGTCCAGAACCTGGCTGTGTCGCCGCTCTCTCCTCCGGGTAACGGGAGACTGGGCCAGCTCAAGCCGAGCGCGAAGGCAGCCCTGATGCTGCCAGGCTCCTCCGGGGACCTCTCCAGTGCGTCTGCGCCGGCCTCAAGGGCCGCCACCCCAGCTGCGAGGGTTTCCCAGGACGGAGGGGTGTCCTGACCAGACTGAAGGCTGCACCCTGCCACAGCCTTCCTGGCGGGCAGAGGCAGGGCTTTCTTAAAAATCAAGGCTGGAGTTGATTCTTAAAGATGCATGGCATTGATTCAGGAAAGACAAAAGGAAAAGATGCTCACCAGGTAACGTGAGAAAGGCATGGCAAGGGAGTGGGGAGGAGGTCATCATAAGCAGGTCTTTTTAAGCAGACCGTAAGTTCAAGGCAAGGAGGGATGGGAGATGGAGCCAGAGAGAGGATCATTTGGAGCAGCTGTCCCCCAACCTTTTTGGCACCAGAGACCATTTTCATGGAAGACAGTTTTTCCACGGGGGAAGGAGGGTATGGTTTTGGAGTGATTCCAGCCCACTACATTTCTTGTGCACTTTATTATTATTACATTGCAATATATAATGAAATAATTATACAACTCACCATAGGATGAAGACACTAAAGTCTTCTCAGATACTCAACCTGCCTGCCTTGCTGCTAATTTTTTCACATTCTTTTCTAATTCCTTTACCAAGGTTTAATTTTAAGATTCTCTAGTGGTCCAGGGCTCTCACTACAGGAGGCTTCTCAATATTTTTTCCCCTTTTCCACGATGTCCTTTTCTCTCCAGAAAAGTCTGGTCTCTCCAGCCCAGTCCAGACCAACAAGATGGCTCTATTCAGAGAAAACTTTCCTGATTCTATTACCTAAATCTAGCCAAATTGTTCCTATAACTAACTGTTCCTGCCATAATTGACACATTTTTTCTCTGCAGCAAGCTAGGTGGCATTCCAATACTTGTAAAGTTCCAACTGTGAGAAAAATGTTAAAGCATATACATAGATATTTACATCCAGACTCCCACTTTCTTCCTACTTCTCTTTCCTCCTTGTTGGACTATCCACAGAAATTTCAATGCAAAGAGTGACATTGGAATGTCATTAATTATTGTGGAAAATGAGAAATGAGAATGCTTGAATATATTACAATAAACTCATATTTGTAAACTCAGAAATTCACATTTAAAAATACATTTAAAGCAAGTTTTCTAATATTGTACAAAGATATAAAAACTTTTCACGATGTATGTTTAATTGAACAAGTTACACTACAAAATTTTTTCAAAGTATCTCTCTCTCACACATTCACACACACACACACACACGTACACACACACCTTTATGCTCTCACATACACACAAAGCAAAAGAAGGGTAGAAGGTTGTTCCTCCAGTTTATACATGTTTTCTCCAAATGGTTGCACTGGTGATATTTTTGTTTTCTCTTCGTATTTTTCTGTGTTTTACAACTTTTCTGCAATGCACGTACATTTATTTTCTTTAATTTCTAAAAATGTTGCAAAACTTCAGAAAGTTATAGGAAATAATTATCAGCTAGAGATCCTGAAGGCTCTAGGCAGTGCTGAGGATGTTTTATAAGTATCACCTTAGAATCTAAGACTTCTCACTTGAAGCTCAATGTTCCCTTCTATACTCTGTTCCCTCCCTTTCCATTATAAATATTTTATTAGTCTATCAGATTTTGTCTTCCCCTTCTTTCTTTTATGGCATCTATAGGTACAAGAGAAAATTGCTTCAAAAACACCCTCTGATTAGAGAAGAATATCTTCACGTATTTTCCTGTATTTTTATGGCTGGGCAATTGCTTCAAGTATTTTTCTTTTTTTCAAGCCAAAGTTCCAATGTGTTTCAGAGATTTACCCAAATTTATATTTTATTATAGAATAGATGAATATGCAAGTAAATCATTATATAAATACAATTATTTTAGATTTTTGTAAAATGTTACCATGTCTATACTACAGTGGCATCAATCCAAATAAAACAGAAGCCATTTAAAAGTCTTCTTCAATTTGTTTGCCCTTCAAAAGGCCTGGGTATGCTAATGTAATTAATTTGTAATTAATTGAAATAACAGACTTAATAACCACAATGATTTTTTTTTTTTTTTTTTTTTTTTTTTGCTATTCAACATTAAAGCCAATAGCAATTTAATTTGGCTTTACATTGGAGACCAACACATTCTTGGACCATTTTCCTAAGAATGAGCTCCTTTGGGCTATAAATGTTGGAACCTGTGACTGACTTTTAGCCCTGGAAATTCACTGTTGGACGAGAGTAGACCTGTCAAAGAAGGTAGCTGGGGCTGGGAAACTTGATTTTTTTTTTAACCTAAGTGGATGGGAGCATCCAGTCTCAGTGTTCTTTATTTAAAGGTATTGTCTCTACTTGCCAGTGTCCGATTGTGATGCCATTACAGGCCAATCTTAGCTGGGGGCCAGCTCATTCTTTCTGTAGAACTTTCTCTGTTCTAACATTATTTCCTCAGATGACCTTGTCCCTTGCCATTCTCTGACTTTCTGAACTTTAGGACTGGAAGGAATGGTGATCTTCTAACCAAAGCTTTCCAGTGTATTTCTAGTTGAGCCCCCTTTAATAAATATGTGTGACATCTCATTTGTCTACCTGGAAACTCTGCCAGGACACCCTATCTCCCATTACAAGAATCAGTTCCTCTGACCACTAGAATTCAGAATTTTTTCCTATCTACATGTTTTTTTCCCTACAACATCTCAGAAATTCTGATATATAACCTCCCGCTAGAATGGTATGCTATTGTTACTGATTGAGAATTATCGATCTATTCCAATTCTCTAACTTCACAGATTAAAATAGTTGCCACAAATTTTGTAATTTATCCAAGACTGAACCACTTATGAAAGGTACTGACCTGGAATCTTAGTTTTCTTATTCCCAAATAGGACCTCTAGAATAGAGTGGGGTGAAGAACTTGGACCTCTTTACTTCAATTTCTGTATACTGTCCTTGAACATCACCTCCAACTTTTATGTCCTAACCACCCTGAAACTGTTATCCCACCAATGAGACCTCGCAATAGTGATCACAGAAGTCAATCAAACCCGTGGATGGGCACAAACTGGAACACAGTAACTGTGTGAATCACCAGAGGGTAGCTCCCATTAAGATAATCACCTGTTTACTGAACACCTTTGTGTATTGGTCTAGTTCCTAGAAATATAAATAGAAACCTTATAGGAGCTAGCAGCATAAAGGTATTATTTGAAAAAAATATTTCCTAACCTCTACCAATTTCTTTTTCATATGATGACACAGAAAGTAAGGACATATTTTTATCTTCCTTTACCTTATTTCTATAACACTGTTGGAAACAATATATAGTAGCTTAAGCACTGAATTGGCTGCTCTAGCTTATCCTTAGCTCTGGCCAATCTTCTCATTCATAAAATGAGGAAGTTGAGGCAACTATCTTAAAGGTCCTTATCACCTCTAACATTCTATGATGTTCTTTAATTCGAATTCTTGTTGACCTGATTGAAATTCTTGCTATTTTTTCCATAATGAGCCCTTATTAACCAAGATTATAAAATGACTCATGAAAATAGAGATTTTTTTGTGGTGAGGGTCAAGTTATAGCACCCACACACATAGTAAATTTCTCACTATAATGTGAAAAACATGTAACATACGTGTGATATAAATGATATAAGCTCTTTCTGGAGGTGACTATACCCTATTCTGACATTTTTTTAACCATGTGTTTTCCATTATTTAGCTAAAGATTACCAGGGAGATTTCTCATGGCCAACCCCATTCTACAGATAAAGTGAGAGATTTGTAGCCAGTCTTCTACATGCCTGAATTAGAGTGGAGGATTCTAGCTCACAAATATCCCTGCCTAATAACATATCCTCCCATTGTCTCCAAACAAGCCAGCTCACCATCACTAACCAAGATGGCACATTGAGTGATGGCTATGATCTCTATAGTCCACCAGAGTTTCATTTCAAAACAAGTATTTCACCTCCTAGAATAACCTTCCTAGCATTGAAGGATTGAAGGGAGGAAATAGTCTTGGCATCCATGTAAAATGGAAAATATGGTCACCATCTGTAGTAGGGAACTACTATGATAGGCATCAATGATCCCCACCTCCTGGTATCCATGCCCCTGTGTGATCCCCTGACCTTGAATGTAGACTGGACTTCTTTACTCACTTCTAGTGAAGGGAATACAGCAGCAGTGATGAGATGTCACTTCAGAGGTTAGGTTATAAAAAAACTATGGCTTCTGCCACCTCAAGTCTTGAGTCCTCTGTCTCTCTCTGTTTCTCTCTTTCTCTTTAGGGGCATGGAAAATTCATGGGGCCTTGTTCTGAGAGAAGCAAGTTATCATTCTGGAATGGCTCTATGAAGAGGTTAATGTGTCAAGATGCTGACAACCCCAGCAACAGCTAACAAGGACCTCTAGCCTACCAACAGCCACGTGAGTGACCTCGGAAGCCGACCCTCCCTGAGTTGAGCCTGCAGATGACTGTCGCCTTGGAGAGCACCTTGACCGAAGAATGTGAGGGAATGTGAGCCTGCTGAACTGTACCTGCATTCCTGCAGAAACTGTGAGATAATAAACATTGCTTTAAGCTGCTAATTTGGTGGCATTTTGTTATGCAGCAATAGATAACCAAACTCCACCAAAGTAATCGGTCTCCTTGGGGTGGCTTAATAGTCTCCTAATCTTAGAAGAACTGATGATACTTCATGCTCTCACGTTTGCCATCTTCTTTTCGGCAGCAAGGGAGCAGCTGTCCCAGGGTATTTCTCCAAGAGGAACACCCTAGCACCATCTGCCAGTGGGGAGCCAGCCAGCTCATTGTCAGCGACAGTAACAGAAATTCCAACTAAAGTATTTTCACTTCCCCACACTCATGTTCAAGCAGAGCTTCTGAAGTTCCTTCTTGGCAAATGCATCTCCTACTGTGTCTTTAGTCAAACAATTGCATTTTCTAGCCCTCCGCCTTGGGGCATGGCTCCCTGCACCAGCTCCCCAGTGCCTTTCCAAAGCCAGTGCTCACTCGGAGGGAGACAGCACATGTTTTCATTTCAAGTCCATGTGGAGGATGATTTGAGAGCATCCCTGTGTTTTAAACTTTCTTCAGGTGAAAGGAACTCAGACATTTTTATCTCTCTTTCAAGAGGAGAATAGTCCGAGGTATCGGCCTTAGTCCTTTAGTTTGTTTCTGGTTTCTAAAGCAGCATGCATATAAACAAAAATACAGCTTAGTTTCCCTTTTGACAGCATTTTTAAATCAGAGAAATACCACTTTTCTTGTAAAAATTATACAAAAGAAGTGATAACATGATTTCTCAGGAATGCAAGGCCACACGGACCCCAGAAAAAAGACAGATCCACATGTTCAGAGCATGGTTTAAAAAAGAAGAAAAAGAAAAAAGAAAAAAAAGAAAAAAAACACAACAGAGAATTAGGGTTCTGGAAGGATGTAAAGAAACTGGAGCATTTTTATCAGGATGAGAAGTGGGGCTTTAACCTTCTGAATAGTCTACTGGACATAAAAGTGTGTAATATAGTATCCCATAAGCCACTACATACCAATGAGCATCAATGCTCATCTGTTCTGGTTGTGAGGAGAGTACCAAGTGGTAAAAGCTTTTAGGAGAGAGTTTGTGTGTGATAGTAGAAATGCTGATGGCTTGGACTCAGACAAGCTCAGACTCAAGATCAACCTACCTGCGCTGAGGATGTGAATTTTATGACAAAGTAAACAAGGGAGGCATGGAAGGATTGCTTTGCTTTTTCAGTGAATTTTACCTACCCTGGGCTGACATTGGCTCAAACATTTTTATATTCTATATTTCATGTTATTTGAATAAAAATGTTAAGCTTTCCATTTTTTTTTTCATTTGACTAGTCTGGCCAAAAATCAGGAGCACATTAAAAATATGGCAGGATTAAACTCTATGAGAGCAGTATAATGTCATTGCTACTGGTATAGTGTCTGATCTTTAGTATTATAATTACGGTTCCTAAGAAGCCAAACAACACATTAAGGCCCCATCAGCACTGGCTGGTTATTGCAGCTTTCCCGTATGTAGATTTGTTGCACATTATGACAGAGATACTCTTGAGAAAGAATGAGAAACTTATGCAAGTAAAATTATATTTGATGAGCAAACCATCTCAAAAATTAGAATGAATTCATTTAAATCTTTCAGTGGCTCCCCACAATCCTGGTGGTGTACTATATGAAACACGATAATTTGTTCTTACCGGTTCTGCTCTTGTTTGTCAGTTTGGGGAGTGATGGTAGGAAGGAGTGTCTGGCAGGAGAGAGGCCTGCAGGGCCATACTCAGCAGGGTGGCCATGAGTGAAGAAGGTAGGAATCAAAGAGTAATGTCATAGACAAAGTCACATATTCAGTTTTTCCTATTATCTACGCTACCTCTGGGATATCATAAGCTTCTTGGGTTTAGGGAGATTTTATATGCCTTCCCCAAATACTATTTGATTCACATTAATTAGCTTCAGTAGAGGGAGCCTGATATCACAGAGAGAGCACTGAATTATGAATCTGGAGAACTGAGGTTTATGTCTCAGCTCTGCTCCTTGCAGCCTGCTACCTTTTTTCTGAACATCGATATTGTAATATAAAATGTATGAATCTTCAATCTTAAATATATGTCTATGTATCTCAAAAGGCTGGTGTATAGATTCATATAAAAATGTTTGGAAAGCTTGAAGCTATATTGACTATATGATTATATTATTGTTTTGACTGCTGCTAAGTTATTTGAAAAATGATAGTTTTCTACAGTGCAAAATAATGACATAATCTTATCATAAATGTTTAGATGAGACCTCAATGAGTAGTGATGGTGGGTTGATACCTCCAATTCTTACCTATTTCAGAGACTCTCAGTTTATGTCTAATGGCACATCAATCTGATTTATACCCAAAAAAGCCCATTTTATTTCAGGGGGCTCAGGAAGCTCTTAGAAACACCCCATTCTCACATGTATCCTCTATCTCTTCTCGATTCCCGTACAAATCCCCAGCAATGCCTTTCATTCCACAGTAAGCACTAAACTTAAAAAAAAACTCTTGCCGTGGGTGAGATAACACAATGTCTTACATCCACTGGAAGTTGAGAATAACTGATTGCTGCTGCTGCTTGCCTGAGAGTTTTGGTGGTGGATGGGGAAAGAGTGGGCCATCAGGGGCCCAGAGGGACACCTACATGTGAAGAGCGAGGATTCAGTAGGGTTGATGGGAAATTTGTGACTATTTTACCCAAGAATTCCCCCCTTCTATAAAACTAGAATCTGACACCAGATCTTCTCTTGGAGTGCTAATGTGTTTTCATTTTAGGGCCTAAGAGAACAAAGAGGACACATTCCAAATATGTCATGCTGAAGGTTTTTGGCTATAAAGCAAGTTTGATCCAAAAAGCTCACAACTAGAAGTCTAGTTATGTAGAATTCCAGCAAATACTCAAGGACCATAAAAGCAAACATTAAATTAACGGAGCTAAAATTAGGCCAGTAAGAATAGACTTTTTTTTTTTTTTTAATTTGGGTCAGCAGTTAAGAGTCCAGATTCCAGATCAGACATTCAGTGTGCCCTCGTAGGCACAGTCCACTTGGATGCTAGTGTGGAAGATGAACCATCTGCTTTGCCCTGCATGGTGCCCCAGGAGTTTTTATTGTGGTGGAAGGACATTGGGGACTTGAGATAAATTCTTTCCCTAACAGAGGTAAAAATTTAGTGGCAGAATTGTAACTAACTTTCTCTCATTCCAGCCTTGCATAATGGAAAATTTTGAGTGAAGATAGGAACAAAAGCAATGGAATTGAGCTAATCCTTTTCTACCTGGGAAAGCACATCTGCACCTGTCAATGTGGGGTGGTTGCCCAGGAGGCAAATGTGGGGATACAGCCATGAGAAAATTGGACTTGAGTCACAAGGGAAACCAGATAATTCCCTCTTTAACAGCTTGAGGCCCAGAAGTCACATTTCTTATTGGACTAAAAGCTCTCAGGGCATAACCAAACTGGTGGTTTCCCAGAAGGTCTTGGCTTCTCTCTCCACCAGCCCATGTCCTTGGAAGTTACAAGCTTTTGTTGTTTGGGGGAAAATTTGGGTTGTGAGTGTGCCCAGCACACCCCTGGCATAGCCTGGATGAGAGGAAGAGGCTCGTCTTTCAAGCCTTCTGCCACTCCCTTTGAAACAGGGCTGGTTTTAAAGGGCCTCAGGATTTACTTTCTGGCCATGACTTCAAAGCATAGATAAATGCTTGATTTAGAGCTCCAAGGTCTCCACATCTATTATTATTTTTATAAAATAAGAGCAAGCCAGCCACGTGTTTATAAATGTCCCTTGACAGCACACTTACTGGCTTGAGGATGCAGCATAAGGCTGTGGCTTCATAGGAGCAGGGGAGGCTTTGCCAAGGGAGCCAGATCCAAGTGGTGTTGGTTTAGCTCCATGGACAAAATGTCTCCAAAGCACATGAGGACAGCTGCATTTCCTCATTTCTGGTGCACATTGTGTTTGCATAGTAGGAAATGGTCACTGACAGGACTACTGCTCACCATGTTGCCACACTCTGAGAATGCAGTACAAACTTGTGATTAAGAGGGCTGAGGGAGGGCTATAAGAAGTTTGAGCAGGAAGCCCAGTGTTACTGTTAATTAAACTAAGGGTTCAGGCCTTCCTCAGCCCACCAGACTATAAGACAGAAGGATATCCTTCAAGGGTGATGTGTCTGCCGGTCTTTGCCCCAGAATGGGCTAAGTGCATTTCTTACAGGTAAGTGAAAATTGAAATAATTGCTTCATTTTCTTGACAGGTGAGATGGAATAGGTAGGTATACACTAATGAGTAACATAAAAAGAAAAAGAAAAGAGGGCTAACAAAAGCAATAGAAGAAAAAGTAAACAAAAGGGAAAAAATGAACAAAAGGGTGTCTTTGTGTAGGTTCTTTGGAAGCAGGGCTTAAAATAAGAAGTCAGGGGCACATGATATCAGGTGCACAGGATAAAATGAGGATACACTGTCAGGAGAAGAGGAAAGAAAAGCAGGAAGAGGCAGGGTTGCAGGCTGAGATTGAATCTATCCTTAGCCTGTTGCCATGGTAAGCTCTGGAGCAGTAATTAAACCACAGAGTTGGTCTCAACTTGAGGTAAGAGTATGAGCCTTTTCTACCCTAGTGTCAGTTGAGTTTACTGGAAAGGGGTGAAAGGGGTATAGCCTTCAGGCTCTGGCTGTTGCTGAGGGCAGTTCTTTGAGGCAGGAGCAACTGTGAACCTTTAGCAGCCAACGCTAACAGCAGCTAGCAGGTGGGTCTGCAAGCCAGGAAAGGTTATCTTGGAGACACCGGCAGTATCCATTCCTGGGGCCTAATGGAGTGACAGCCAAAAATTATCCTCATTCCAAGAAGCATCTATTCATCTCTACCTCCCTCATTAATCTATGCGTGGGATGGATTAATGTGGCCTAGAGCAATGGGCTCCAAAACATTGATTCCTTGTAAGGTTGCATTTCAATATCCTGAGGGCTTTTAAAAAATACAGATGCCCAAGTCCTGCTCTCAGATATAGTGATTCAAGACATCTGGAATGAAATTTAGGAATCTGCATTAAAAAATTCCCCTCCCTTATATCCTAATAAATTCTACTTTTAAATCTATAGCCAGCAAAAATCGTCCACATGTGCACAAGAAGACAGACCCAAGGATGCTTGTTGGAACACTGCTTGCAATGATGAAATATGATAACACCCTGAAGGTTCACCAATAGGGAAATAGTAAATGAATTGTGATGTGTCGTTCCATAGAACACTATATACCAGTTAACATGAATGAACTATATCAGTGGAGTGATCCACACTCATAGAAAACCTAAAGTTGAATGAAAACGGTAAGCTGTATTACAATGAAAATAATATAGTATAAAAACTTTTTTACACATAGGCACAAAATATTATGTACTAATCTCACACACATATAAACTTGTTATATTTAAGAATATATACATAAACATATATATGTATGCTTGTCAAAATATTTTTAAATGTTTGAAGGAAAACACATCAGACTCATCCAGAAAGTAATGATGAGATGGAACTGGGGTCAAAGTGTTTTCAACTATATCTATAATATCGCACTTCCTTTTTTAAAAGACCTTAAAGAGAGATTATAACACAATGCAAAGAATTGTCATCCAAAATGGCATCTCATGTCACTTGAAATGTAATCCTATCAGAGATGACTGAACATCCCTTCTAAAATACAGCAGTCCTTCTTTTCTTCATCATCCTTCTCTCCTAAACTTGCTTTATTTTTCTTGGTGGCACATATGCCTGTATGTAAAATGTGTGATCTCTCTCTGCTGTCTGTACTTTTCCATCTCCCTCACTAGGGAATTAGCTCCTAGAGGGCTGGAGTTTGGTTCCACCGCAATCTAGGACTGAGCCTGTCACATGGCAGCTTCTCAAGTAACTATTTGCTGCACTACCTGGGCTGCTGAATGAATTATCAATTCTGGTGGCGGGCATGCACACATTTTACATTATTTCCAGGGCATTTCTGTATTTTTTAAAGTTCTCCTTCACTACTATTCCAATTTCCTTGAAAAATTCCTGAGAGAAATGGCATATTTTGTGATGATCGGCAGGTTTTGGGAGCCCTGGGTCGATGGCATTTTTCTCACATTAAAAAAAATAAAAACAACATATAAATACTATTCAGGGCATCAAAGTGAAATGAGGTGATAAAATTCCAGCCAAAAGCAAAGAAATCTGCTCGAAATCTCCTCAACCACATCACAGACAAGGGCATGATTTCCTTTATTACTATTATTATTTTTAATATTCAAAAGCTTAGGAAA